CAGACACGAAGTCAACTGAAACAGGTTTTTGTCAACTTCCTACCTCTCTATTTAGGAACAATTAGGCTTAGGTTTGTGAATAAGAAATGTAGTATTCATAGTTATGAAGCTGTACATATGCTCAGTTTTCATTTTAGTTAAGCATGCTAAGAGAATTTGGTCCATGAACATCCTGAAAAAAATAGTTTAAGATTTAGGGCCAGAGAAATTCTCTCTGGTCTTTAAGAGTTAGGACAGGTTTTTTATATGGTTGAATTCGTCTTGGAAAACTCTACAACTTTGATGTTATGTGTTTTTACATTAGAGCACGTATGCAGGATGTTCGTGTTTGTACAGGGCGCGCGAAATTTTGAAGACATAGGTTGAAGATGAAGTGTGGTGGGTTGGGCTTGGTCTTGGCTCACTATTGACACCCCCCTTTTGCTAAATACACCCCCCTGACCCATTTCTTCATACTTTTGTATTTTTCCATTTTATTTTCATTTCTGATTTTATTTTCTTATTTTTTAAACATAAAAAATACCAAAAAATATTTTTATGAATTTTCACATTTATTTTGTATTTTATTTTTATTTTTTCTAACATAATAAATAATTTAATTAGTATATACTTTTATTTATTGAAAACGTGAAAATAATATATAATAATATTATCCCTTTATTTTTATTCTGTATTTTATTTATACTCAAAAAATATTGTTCTAAATATATTTTTGTCTTGTATATATTTTATTTTTATTATTATTTATTGTACATATATATATTTTATTGTATATAAATAGTATATTTAATATATTTATTTTCTTAAAAAGAAAATTAGGGTTTTACCCTTAATAAAAAATAATAATCTTTTTATTATTCCTTTCTTTTTGCATTAAATATTTTTTACATACATAAAAAATAAACATAAACATTTTTGCATAATATTTTGTATATTTATTTAATTTGTTTATTTAAATATTATTCATTTATTATTTATGTCATTGATTCAATTTGGATGTAATAGTAAAATTAGGGTTTTAATTTCTTGTCAAATAATCCCCATTCAAAAATTGTATTCCCCTCCCTATAATCGTGTTGTAATAGTGATAGATTTATTTTACGCATTTACGCTTTCAATTATGCCATGATTAGAGATTAGGGTTTGTATGCGAAAATCCAAAATCAATCGCTAGATGACCTAATACAAGACCTAAATGTATGAAAATGACAAATACAATGCACACTTACACCCCTAGGGTTACATCCACTTGTTGCCTTAAAAATGGGCCATGTTATGCATGTTGAGTATTTTGGCAACACAAAAACAAAACAAAAGATCATAGTCCCTCGATGACGCTATCTTGATTGCCTACACAAAATCATCTAGTCCCTTGGGAAATTTGCTAAAAATACTTAACACAATTGCTATCATGGTCTATACGATGACCCGCGCCTGTCCCGTTTAACATCCTAATACAAGGTTGTTTACCAAATGCAATGGTAAAACAACACTGTCAAAAGGGTTAAAAACATATAGGAAAGACTTTTTGAGTAAAATAGGATAGATAACTCTTAGTTACTTGATCAAAAACTTGCAAAACATCCTTGCTATTTTTCAAACACACCTCACAACACAATTTCAAAATATCTCCCAAATCAAACTTTCAAAAGACATACATCTTTGTATACATTCAAACAAGAATCATTACAAAGATTGCCACAACGATGGCCTCTTTTCAAAATATTTTCAAAACCACACACAAAGCACCATTTCAAACAATTGAAAAGCAAAAGCAAGTGATCTAAACAAGTAACTAAGAGCCCATGGATAACCATGGATGAAAAGGGTGCTTGCACCTTCCCTTTTCATAATCTACTCCCCGAACCTAAGAAAACATCTCAAAGGTCTTTCCTGTGCTTTTTGACCTTTCCTTAGGATAAAATAAAAAGTCGGTGGCGACTCTTGCTAAACCGAAACATTTGCAAACACAAACGCAAAACCTCAAGTCAGTTCTCTCACTGTATCACACGTACGCTGCCAATGTCCAGCCAATGGATTCATCATTCATTCAATCCAACGCACAAGCAGTGAGGGACCATGACGCACCCTCAAGTCAATGCTAAAAGAGATCAGGCGCTGATTGGGCTTGGAGCGTTTTGGGGCCTGAAAAATTCAGATTGGCACCCCCTATTTGCTAGCATACAGGCCCAGTTTGCATTTTCTTTCTATTTTTTTTTAATTTCTTGAATTAATTTTTTTCATTTTGTTTTAATTAATTAATACAAAAATTATTATTTTTATAAAAACTAAAAAAATCAATAAATCACAAAAAAAAAGAGTTTTTTATATAAAATATTTATTTAATATAATTAGTAAGTTAGGTAAATTTAATTTCTTTTTCATAATTAAAATTAAATAGAAATTAGGTTTTAAATTTTGTAATTAAAATGTTATCTTTTCTCAAATAAAAAACCACCAAAAATACTTAAAATCTTTTTTTTTTGTAAAATATTTTTATTTTCTTGAAATGATTTAATTTAATTTAAATTAGGTTAATTTCAATTTCTTTTATAAGTAAAAATAATTCGAATTAGGGTTTCAGTCGTGCATAACTTAATTAATTCTTTTCTAAAAAATAGTTCAAATATTTTTTTTTCAATTAGATTTTTAAGGGTTTCAATTTCTCCTCACCTTTAATTTACTGCGCGCACTTTTATTGGTTTTATTATTATTATTGTAACTGTTTCGAGCCTGTAATAGTTTCAATTAGGGTTTTAAATTTCGCACTTTTATTTTTCGTCAAGACAATTATGTAACTGTCAAAGCCTTGTAATAGCTAGGTTTATTTTCCGCACTTTAAATTCCTGCAAATATTTAACTGTCTAGATGTATGCTATAATAGGATTGTATGGCAAGAATATCTAGAAATTTAAATGGTAGATCACCTAATGTGCAAAGATTAAATAACTAAAACAATTCATATGCACATACTCACTCCTAGGGTTTACCTCACTTCGATTGCCTTCGGTAAAACAGTCATTAAGCATAGGAGATTTTAGTGGTTGTCCTCCAGTCTAAAAGATCAAATTGTCCCATTCGAATGTGGCCTCGGAAAAGTTGCCTCGGAAGTATTGCCTCGAAAAAGATCTTAAGACTCTAGGGTTACTATTAAATTTTCTAACTGTTGCTTTAGTGATTGTACTTGTCCCTTTCGAATGTCCCTTACAAACTCCAACGACGGTGCTACCTACTCCTTAATAGTAGGATAGCGCTGTCTAAAGAAAAATGAACAGTCTTTTTCAAGTAGGTAGATTAACTCTTAAGTACTTGCTCAAACAAATAAACTTTTCACACCAACACTTTTCAAAACAATTTTCAAAACAAATTTGTCACATCCTTGAGGACTGATACAAGGGTTATCACGAAATAAAACATTTTCAAAAACAAGCACACACAAGCAATTTGAAAAATGAGCAAGTACCTAAGAGCCCATGGAAAACCATTGATAGAAAGGGTGCTAACACCTTCCTTTTCTATAATCTACCCCCCGTACTCAGAAACATCTCGAAAAAGGTTTTTTCTGTTCTTTTTTCTTTTCCATGATTGGATGAAATAAAAGTCGGTGGCGACTCTTGCTTACCGCGAAATTTTGCGAACAAAAAACGCAAAATGCAAACCAGTATAACAGTTGGTTCTGCCACCGTATCACATGGTCCAATACTTGTCTTCCACATAAAACAACTCCAACTCATCAAACTTGTTTTTTGTCTTGGTGAGACTCTTTTCCGAAAATCTTTTTAAAAATGAATGTGACTTAGCCATTTCAATACGAATCGAACTCAAAGACTTAAAGCCTATCAAACAAGCAAACAAGTCAAAGTTCAAACGTTTGAAATGTCTAACGCATCATTCTCCCAAAATTAACCAACAAACTATTGGTCTTTTTAAGCATAATTATGAAGCTCTGACTTCCCTATTGCACCGAGGAATACGTAGGCACAAGATGTGAAGTCTTTGTGAGTTCAATAAATTAAAAAATCAAAACACCCTTCTTCTTTCTCTCTTTTCTCAAATAAATAGAAGATCGCAAACTATCACGCTAACACTCGAACACACATTAACTAAATGGTTCTCATCAAGTACGATAGATGTGAAGGATGTTAATATCTTCCCCTTACATAACCTCCGAACACTCTCTTAGTTGCGATGACCATTTTATTTCTTTTGCAAATTTTATTCGTTATTTTTCCGTTCCTTTTAAAACAAATAAATCTCGATGGCGACTTTATTGTTTTAAACATTTCGAGTGTGCGATGCGGTCGAGTTTTTTTCGTGCCGCTTCACCTTGTGATCCTTTATTACTGCTTGAATCCTTCGTATCCCGTTCGGTTTGGAAAAAGGGATGAAGGAATTACTTTGTGTGTGACACTCTGTTGGGCTAACGGAAATGTAAGAAATAACTTCATCTCTCTTTCATTGCTCCAACGGTGAAAGTGATAGAAGAGGTGGTTGACTCAATTAAAATGAAATGTGTCTCTTTCATGCTGTTTCTAGCAAAGTAAAATTGGTACTCCATGCTTATATTTTTAATGTTATTAAAATCTCATAGATTGTATATTTAGGTAGGTCAAACTAAGCCAAATTATGTGGAGTATCTAACATGTATCTTACTTTTTATTACATGAGTCGAATACCCTTTTATTTTAACTTCATTATTGAGTGGAGTACAAAGTACTTATCACTACTTATTAAAACACATTCTTTGCTATAAAAAAACTAAGACAAATACATCATTAAACACACAAAGGAACAAGCTTTTAACAAGAAAACAAAGCTAATTATTTATTGATTAGATAAGTAATTAGCTACATTACAAACTAAGGAAACTGAAGAACATAAAACTCCATAACTTAAAACAAGAAACAAATTACATGCATGCAAAATCACAAAAGACCAAACTAGAGATACCATTATACTGTATTAAGTCATCATTTCATCAATACAAAGATTGATGCATATTAGTATGGGGAAACACCAAGATTAGCAGAAGCATAAAACCCATCTTTCATCAGAGACTGACCACCATCTCCTCCTTCCTAGACAAAATAGAAAATGACACAAAATCAATCAATCAGAAATCAAAAGTCAGTGGAATGGATCGATCGATCCACACATGAATTATTTGTCTGAAACATATTTTCAGCGAGAATAGAGGTGGATGATATGATATGAGATAATTTACCTGCTGGCACACATTTGTCTTCTTCATAGTCTGATCAGGCATGAGACCAAAGTGAATGTGTGGAAAGTGGGCCCACTGTCATACATAAAGTATATGTCACATATCAAAAGATAGTCCAAAATGGACTAGTAAAAACCTATCATTCATTTTGATTTGTGGAAACATAGCAGAGATATACTATCATGCTCTTCAAAATAATTGGATTCTTGTGAATCTAAACTCACATGACTTTTTTTTTTTTAAAACTATTTACATGTTTTTGGTATAAAAATCATCCTTTTATAAGTCATATTATTGTCTTCAAACCACTAGGGTTATTAGTTTCTTATAATAATAATCAAGGTTTTACAAAACGATCTGTTACCGCAAAAATAACTTTGATAAAATAGTATCAAAATATATTAATACTAAACTCTTATTCACCATTTTTATATTAAAGAATAAATTGTGATTAATTTACATTTGTACTTTATACGGACTGAAATTGTGAAAGTTTTTATCTATCGGTTAATTAAAAACTTGAATATTATATTATTATTTAAGTTAAGGAGAATCATACATTCTTGGCAGCTGCACTGAAGGCTTCCCTGTGAGTAATATCAGGATTGACAGACTTAATGCGTTGGATCTCATCTCTGCAGATTTATACATACATGGACCATGTTCAGATTTTACTTCACACTTTATTTAATAATATTATTTAACAAAGCAAAACAGATAAATTTAATACTATATATTATATTTTAAAAAATAAGTACAATGGTTTAAAATGAGTTGTTGAACTCACTTGATGAAGCGGTTGTATGCTGAAGGAACTCTCTGTCTTTTCTCTGGAGCTGGACATTAACACACCATCATCAGGTATTTATCAAAATCACTTTCATTTTGAAAAACATAGCCTGAAAAAGGACTGTGCCCTAAACTAGAGATTACAGTGTAGCTGTTCTATTACAAATATTTTGTATGATAAAAAAAGGTGAAGATATTTTATCTTTCTCAAAACTTATAGAAACATTATAACTTTTAGGGTTTAAGGTAAATAGCTTTTCCTATATAGGTTGTGAAAAATCTCACGTCTGTTTATGATAGGTGGCCTTGGAAGCTCATCAGCAACAGTCCTGGGAGGCATAGAGAACTCATTTGATGTGTTTGTGAGGTTCATCATGAAATTTGGAACTTGGTTTGGCATCTCCTCCTGCTACAAAAAAAATCATGTATCAACAAACAATATTTGAAGGCTGTAGTTAAAAAAAAAAAAGAGAAAGAGAAAGAGAAAGAGAGTATAGTTTATAATTAACCAGAAGGTTATGAGTTGGGGAGAAGAAAGAGTGTCCAAGATGAAACTGATTAGGAGATGGAAGAAGCAGTGCACGCATGTTAACAGGAAGGAGATTAGTGCAGTGACCACATCTCACAGTAACAGTCTTGAACAAGCTAGTGCAAGGAACACTCACCTGCATGAATAAATAAACAAAGTTTAAAAATTTAGATTAAAAAAAAAACCCTAGGTAGAGATGTAAAATGTATAGATAGATATATATACAGCAAGAATGGTGTCACAAATGTTGCAGTGAACATAACAAAGTTGCTCGGAAGGAGGGAGGTGGTCCAAGGATAAAGAAGAGGAGGACATGATATGATAGATTATATTCGGTATTGATGATTGGTCTCTTGATTGAACTGATTGATTGATAGATGGATGGACAAGTTAACAAACACACTTAGGATATGCTTTTTTTGATTATGAGTGTTGAAAGAGAGGTGCAGAGAGACAGTTCATAGATAGAAAGTAAAGAGTGAGTGAGAGTGATATGATATATATAAAGACCTAATTCTGTTCTATTCTTTTTTTTTATCTTAATAAATTATTCAAGGGAGGGAACACTTCTCGATGTCTCTTTCTCTTTGTTTTTTTGGTTAGCTTGGAAATATTATAATTTAACTTACTATTTGAATATTTGTTTGTATAATGGTTGATGAACAAGTATGATGCTAAGCTATATGCAGGTAAATATTGATTAGAAACTAAAAAAAAAAAAAAAACTCTTAAAACTGTTTTTTTTTTTGTTGAAGAAGGGATTATGATCATTATAAAGTTATATAAACAACTTGAGGTGTTTTAAATTTGAATTCCAATAATAATGTTAAATGTAATAATATTAGATTTTGTTAGTTAAATTAAATTTTAAATAAAACAAACATTGTTGATGATAATAAATTTCATTAAATTATGAGGATGTTCTTAATAAATTTGTAAGACTTCAAATAGGTTAGAATGTGTATTGAAAATAGTGCATTTATTACTTTGAAGAACATACTATAGACGTGTTTTAGTAATGAAAATAGTGCATATATAGTCTATTAAAAAATAAGGGATATCAGATTGTAGAAATTTTTAAATTTGCGATATTTTATCTATTTATTTTTTTAAGAGGTGAAACATATTAATAAAAGAAAGAAATATAGAGTATAATGAATACCCTATCCCAGTGTAAAATTACAAGTAATTAAGTATCAAGAGAAAAATCATAAAAAGTACAGCAAGAATGAGGAATTTTAGTTATTCACTTTTAAGATATAAATTTGTCGTTAAACTATAAAAATCATTAAAATAATATGGAGTATAATGAATACTCAATCCCATTACAAAATCACAAGTATGAATAGAAAAATCATAAAAATAAGAGAAACAACAAATTAAAAATACAAAAATAAAAAAGTAAAATTCTACCTCTAATACACAGGAGAAAAAATATTTTGTTGTTTGATCGGTTTCTGTTAATCTTTTTGGTGGAGTCGTCTTGTTAATAATCTTCTGTATGGGTTGGTTTAGAAATTGAACTCAATGCAGTTAGCATTATCTCACATTTATACATCGATGAACCTTCGATCAAGATCTGAAAGTTTAATAAAATTAAAGCTTATCTGTTATCTTATTATATAAAATACTAGCAATTTTAAATTTGAAGTATTTGGCTTTGAGATAATGATTCTCAATGTTTCAAAGATGTGAATACGTGCAATAGTGACGGTAGGAAATCATCATCCATTGGTTTTAGGATTCTCTTGTGCTTTGAACAATGTTTGTGATTCTTTTTTTCTTTTATATTTTTATTTTCTTTCAACATTTTGTGTTGGTTTGATTAAACTTTTGGAAGAATTAAACTCAATCATAAAGATGTATATTTTATTTTAGAATGATTTTGAGCTATTAGGTTCATTCACTCGGTTCATTCATAAATCTATCAAGCATTGTATTAGAAGGAATTCATTGATGAGATTATTTTCTGCAAATGGTTAGATTGATGAGGTGGAGTTTGTAGAATTTTAATCAAACTTTGTATACATTTAACTTCTTGTATATTGCTCTTAGTGAATAAATTACACACACTTGGTATTTTGTAGACTCAAACAAAACCTTTACAATTCTAAAACAGTAAATTAAACAACATAACTGCTACATAACTACAAAAGAAAAAACTAATGCCTTTCCTACTACCATAGTTAATACTAATCATTTATTTCTAACCCATTTAATGTTTTATTTCAACAAAACTCCTCCTTAAACATTAAATGCTTCTTCGATCCAGCATCCCAATCATTTTTCTGCCTCTTTCGAATACTTCTCTTGATAGTGGTTTTGTGAAGATGTCAGCTGCTTGGTCTTTGCTTGCCACATGCCTTAGTTCCACGCTTCCTTCTTTCACATGTTCACGTATGAAGTGAAATTGAACGTCTATATGCTTGCTTCGTTCATGATTGACTGGATTCTTCGCCAGCTCAATAGCTGATTTGTTGTCCACGTGTATTATTGTTGGACCTTCCTGCTTCAGCATCATCTTACTTGTCAACCTTCTGAGCCATACAGCATGACACACACACACCAGGATGCTGTCACATACTCTGCCTCACACGTTGAAAGTGTCACTATTGGCTGCTTCTTCGATAGCCAAGTGAAAGCTGTGTTTCCCATGAAAAACACGTATCCTGCAGTGCTCTTTCGATCATCAACGTCTCCACACCAGTCACTGTCAGAATATCCAACTAGCTTGTAGTCTTCAGTCTTTGAATAAAACATCCCAAGTGATACTGTTCCTTGGATGTATCTCAGAATTCGTTTCAGCGCTTTCCAGTGTGTGTGAACTGGCTCCTCCATGAATCTGCTCACTATGCCAACACTAAGTGAAATATCTGGCCTTGTGCATGTGAGATATCGAAGACTGCCTACCAAGCTTCGATATTTACTTCCTTCGACTCGTTCTCCTCCATCAAACTTCGACAACTTTGTGCCTGGCTCCATTGGCGTCGAAATTGGGTTGCAATTCTTCATTTTATACTTTTCTAGGATTTCCTTTGCATACTTTTCTTGTGATATGAAAATCCCAGCTTCTTCCTGTCGAACCTCCAGACCAAGAAAAAATCTCATCAGACCTAAGTCTGTCATTTCGAATTCTCTTGTCATGGTGTTTTTGAAGTCTTCGATCATCTTAACATTATTGCCTAGAAAAATGAGATCATCAACGTACAAAGCCACAAGTAATAAATCACCTCCATTTTTCTTCACATAGAGCGCTGGTTCATAGGGGCATTGCTCGAATCCACTCTCCTTAAAATATGTATCAATGCGTGTGTTCCATGCCCTAGGTGCTTGCTTCAGTCCATACAATGATTTCTTCAGTTTCAGCACCTTCTTCTCTTTTCCAGCCTTCATATAACCAACTGGTTGTTCGACATAGATTTCTTCTTCGAGCACACCATTCAAAAATGCTGTCTTGACATCCATTTGAAATATTTGCCATTTGAACTGTGCAGCTTGAGAGATGAGCAATCGAATTGTCTCCATTCTTGCAACAGGCGCGAACACTTTGTCATAGTCAATGCCATCTTTCTGCTTGTATCCCTTTGCAACCAGCCGTGCCTTGTATCTTTCGATCTCTCCTTGGGCGTTCATTTTTTTCTTAAATACCCACTTTACACCAATGGGTTGACTTCCTTTTGGTAATTCGACCAGCTCCCAAGTTTTGTTGTGTTCAATTGCTTTAATTTCTTCGTCCATGGCGTTTTTCCACTTCTCATCCCTTAACACTTCTTCAACACTTATGTTTTCAGCATCTGCCAGAAGGCACACAAGATGCACCTCAGTTGTTGACTCATACAGATCTTGCAAACTTCTCATTCTGGGTTGTAGAGGTTCATCTCTATCTTCTGTTTCTTCATGTTCTTCTGGAGTGTTTGTTGGTACATCTATAGTTATTTCTTCGACTGTGTCACCAACCTCTGTCAAAGTGTTCCAGTCCCACTTGCTGGCTTCATTCATTCGAACGTCTCTGCTTACAACCACTTTCTTACTTATGGGATTAAAAAGCTTGTACCCCTTCGTCTTCTCATCATATCCAATGAATATGAACTTCTGACTTTTGTCTTCGAGCTTTGTTCTTCGTTGGTCTGGTACATGCGCATAAGCTATGCTACCAAACACTTTGAGATGGGAGATTGTTGGCTTCTATCCACTCCATGCTTCTTGTGGTGTTTTGTCTTCCAGCTTCGAATGTGGACACCTATTCTGAATGTAAACAAGACATTGTACTGCTTCTGCCCAGAACTCTTTCAGCATACTCTTGCTTTTAAGCATTGATCGAACCATATCAAAGATAGTTCGATTCTTCCTTTCAGCCACACGATTTTGCTGAGGTGAATATGGCGCAGTAAGGAATCTTCTTATGCCCTGTTCTTCACAGTACTTCACAATGGCAATCGAAGTATACTCTCCTCCTTTGTCTGATCCAATTGATTTGATGTTTCTTTCTGTTGCCTTTTCCACCATTACTTTGAATTTCTTGAACACTTCTAGTGCTTCATATTTTTCTTTCAGAAAATAGACCCAGGTTTTTCTTGAGTAGTCATCAATGAAGGAAATGAAATACTTCTTTCCACTGAAGGATTCTGGAGTAATTGGCCCACATATATCAGTATGTATCAATTCGAGTATCTGTTTGGCTTGATACTCTGCCTTCTTCTGAAATGAGGTTCTGGTTTGTTTGCTGAGCACACATTCTTCACAGAATTTTCCTTCGAATTCCATGTCTGGCAGTCCATGCACCATGTTTCTTTTCGCCAATCTTCTCAGACCAGCATGATGTAGGTGACCAAAGAGCATGTGCCACAGTGACGCTTTGTCTTGCACTTCGATCTGCAGACATTTCTCTCGAATGTTCCTCAAGTTAAGTTTGTACATTCGATTTCTCTCCATTTCGATAACAGCAATTAGATATCCTGTTTTGTCCTTCAACTGCAGTGTTCGATCTTTCATCAGGATCGAAGCACCCTTTTCAGTGAGTTGTCCCAGACTTAATATGTTGGTCTTAAGGTCTGGTACATAGTAGACATCTTCGATTGACCCAATCAAGCCATCCTTCTGCAAATAGCTGATTGTGCCATTTCCTTCAAATTTTACCTTCGATGCATCTCCAAAAGACACGCTGCCATCTTCAACTCCCTTCATATCTTTAAACAGGTGTTTGTAACCACACATGTGATTACTTGCTCCTGAGTCAAGATACCAAATACTGTCATTGGTGTTGATTTCGTTTTGGGCCATCAGGAGAAACCCTTCATTCAATTCAGCTTCTAAAG